ACAAGGGATTTGACCTTTCCCAAAGGTCCAAAGACTGTCCCTGCCAAAGCCTGTCTCACCACTGGTTACTCTCACTGCCTCCTGTTTTCCTTCCTTTTATGATTCCCTGTTTATTGATGTTCCTCTTTGTTGTCCTGTTCCCCAGCTAGACTGTAATGTGTGTGTGGACAGGGACCATAGCAGTTTTGTCACTCTCTGTCCCCAGGGCCTAGCCCACTGCACATAGCGGGTTCTCAGTAGCGGGTCTTGCTTCCACTCCAGGGCTTACTGAAGAAACATGAAGCATTTGAGACAGACTTTACTGTCCACAAGGATCGCGTGAATGATGTCTGCAGCAATGGACAAGACCTCATTAAGAAGGTGAGTCCAGCCCATCGGTAAGACCTCTGTCCCCCTCTGGGACACCCATGTGTTGGTTTCACAGAGGTCCCCCAAAGTTCGCTTCCTGGGATATTCACCAAACTAAGGTCTGTGTGAAAACCAGTAGCAGTTCCATTCCTGGGTTTCATGCCAAGTTGGTTATTTCCCCTTTTTTGAAGCTAGTAAAGTTACTCTCTAATGTTTATTTTTTCTACATTAAGCAACAGAGACACTGGCACTCGAAAATGCTGCTCTTAGTTTCTCAAGTGATATGATCTCTTTATAGGGACAGTAGAAAATGCAAATAAGCAAAACTTAAAAATCACACATAAAGCCCCACCCAGAGACTACACATTAGATCTTCATGTCTGACCTGCCAGACCTTTACTCTCCACAGGTGTAGAGCTACCATCTAGATCAAATAGCTGCAGAAATCCCTGTTTAATAAGATTATATCACTCTATAAATTATCAAAAACCTGGAGGCTGTCTAGAACGTTTCAGAAATGAATCTATTGGCTGGGTACGGTGGCTCACACATGTAATCCCAGCACTTTGGGAAGCTGAGGGGGGCAGATCACGAGGCCAGGAGTTCAAGACTAGCCTGGCCAATATAGTGAAACCCTGTCTCTACTAAAATTAACAAAAATTCGCTGGGTGTGGTAGCACACGCCTGTAATCCCAGCTACTCGGGAGGCTGAGGCAACAGAATCACTTGAACCCAGGAAGGGGAGGAGGCATGCCATTGCACTCCAGCCTGGGTGACAGAGTGAGACTCCATCTCAAAAAAAAAAAAAAAAGTCTATTTCATTCACACCCCTTTTGGGAGAAAACAAAATAAAGGGACTTGGGGTTTTCCCAGCAACAGCGAAGCCACATCCACCTGAGGACAGAGGTTTTAATGGCTGTGGCTTCATGAGTAAGATTTCTCATCACAGAGGTTGCACTCAGCAGTTATGGCCTTGAGACTAGGGTTTGATCCATAGGCGGCAACAATGTAGCTAAAATCCACTGGAGAGCGTTTTTTCCTTGCTCTGATCTGCAAATAAACTAGCATGAAACTAATTTCAGATATAGACATGTATAGACGTAGACAGGGCTTCTGCATACTTAAACCCCCACACACACCTAGACAACGTTCCCTGTTCTTCAAGCCTAGTATTCTTCAGCCTTCTGGCAAAGAGCTGGCTGCTTTGTTCTTAGCAACAGCCCATTTCCTCCTTGAATTTTTCTTTAAATTCTTTTTTCCCCTTTTCACAGGTGTTGAAGAATTTCTTTTTAAATTCTATGTGACTTGTAGCATGTTTTAATTATTATTTATTTTTTTTTTTTTTGAGACTGAGTTTCGCTCTGTCGCCAGGCTGTAGTGCCGTGGCATGATCTCCGCTCACTACAGCCTCCGCCTCCCAGGTTCAAGTGATTCTCCTGCCTCAGCCTCCCAAGTAGCTAGGGCTATAGGCATGCGCCACCATGCCCAGCTAGTTTTTGTATTTTTTGGTAGAGATGGGGTTTCACCATGTTTGCCAGGATGGTCTCGAACTCTTGAACTCATGATCCGCCTGCCTAGGCCTCCCAAAGTGCGGGGATTACATGTATGAGCCACTGCGCCCGGCCTACTATTTTTGAGACAGAGTCTCACTCTTGCCCAGGCTGGAGTGCAGTGAGTGGCGTGATCTCAGCTCACTGCAACTTCTACCTCCCAGGTTAAAGTGATCCTCCAGCCTCAGCCTCCTGTAATCCTGAGTAGCTGGAGTTACAGGCGCACAACACCATGCCCGGCTAATTTTTGTATTTAGTAGAGACGGGATTTCACCATTACCACCATGTTGGTCAGGCTGGTCTGGAACTCCTGACCTTACGATCAGCGTGCCTCAGCCTCTCAAAGTTCTGGGATTATAGGCATGAGCCACCACACCTGGCCAATTTTTTTATTTTTATTTTTTTGAGACAGAGTCTCGCTCTTGTTACCCAGGCTGGATGGAGTGCAGTGGTGTGATCTCGGCTCACTGCAGCCTCTGCCTCCCAGGTTCCAGCAATTCTCCCACCTGAGCCTCCCTAGTTACCTGGGACCATAGGTGCTGCTACCACACCTGGCCCTTCCCTCCCTCCCTCCCTCCCTCCTTCACCTGACTGTGTTGCCCAGGCTGGTCTCCAACTCCTGGGCTCAAGCAGTTCTCTCACCTCGGCCTCTCAAAGTGCTGAAATTACAGGTGTGAGCCACTGTGCCTCGCCCTGTTTGTTTAGTATTTTAACTGATAATACTCAATTTTTTTCTATCAAAAATACTACTAGTGAATATATCATTATAACTTCAAATTTTATCCCAGTCCTCCTTTTTTTTTGTTTGAGACAGAGTCTTGCTCTATTGTCCAGGTTGGTGTGCACTGGCACGATCTCAGCTCACAGCATCCTCCACCTCCCATGTTTAAGCAATTCTCATCCCTCTGCCTCCTGGATTGCTGGGATTACAGGTGCATGCCACCACACCTGGCTTTTTTTTTTTTATTTTTTAGAAAAGACGGGGTTTCCCCGTGTTGGCCAGGGCTGGTCTTAAACTCCTGGCCTCAAGTGATCTGCCCAACTCAGCCTCCCAGAGGCTGGGACTACAGGCATTAGCCATTGCACCTGATGCATATTTCTGTAGAATTAATTCCTAGAAGTAGAATTGCTAGTGCGGTGTATTCACCTGGAGCCTTTGACCGTGTTGCTCTTACAAAAAGCATGACCTATCATTGTTTCCCCAGCAGCGGACAGGGGAGCAAGTGGCCCATTTTACAGACGTTTAGAGCCTCTCCTTCCAGGGTGGGCACAGGTAACCCCAGCAGGTGAGGCTGACCAGTGTGTGCCTCTCTCTGTGGCCCAGAACAATCACCACGAGGAGAACATCTCTTCAAAGATGAAGGGCCTGAACGGGAAAGTGTCAGACCTGGAGAAAGCTGCAGCCCAGAGGAAGGCAAAGCTGGATGAGAACTCGGCCTTCCTTCAGTTCAACTGGAAGGCAGATGTGGTGGAGTCCTGGATTGGTGAGCACCGTCAGCAAGGCCTGGAAGAGCCTTTCCAGAGCAGCTCTTTGTCTCTTTCCATGTAATTGGTTTTCTTCTGCAGAGAAGAAACTGACCAATTGTGGACATGGCAGAGAACCTACTAGCAAGGCAGGCCACTGACTGCCAGCTAGGAGGAGACAGTGTCCCGACGCCAGAGCTGCCACCCAGAACTGGGCTGGCCCCAGGGTTAATGAACAAAAGCCTGTAAACGCTGCTATAAGCAGAGATGGCACAGTGTGATGTCATGACATGAACGAAGTGGGAACACCAAAGGCACCACTAGCTGCCCTGGTCACGGGCGCCACCCGGCTCCTGGGTGAGGGGAAACTGGGTCCTGATATCAGGGTCCACGTGTCCTGGGTAGTATTAATGGCAGCCGAACTAGAGGACAGGCTGCAAGCAGCTCGTCATGGCACAGATAGAGGCCAGGGCCTGGGTGCAGAGAGGGGCCAGCTAATGTGGGTTCTGAGACTGCAGTTAGGAATATTGGGATTTATCTGTACACAAAAAATGGTTTGTCTGGTTTTTTTTCCTCATTTAATCCATCTCACTCCACTGAGAAGGGCGGTATATTTTCCACACTTGGTCTTCTAGGTGAAAAGGAGAACAGCTTGAAGACAGATGATTATGGCCGAGACCTGTCTTCTGTGCAGACACTCCTCACCAAACAGGTCTGCTGTGGCCCCTTCATTGGTTGAAACTTATGCAAATAGCATTTCCTGCGAGATGACTGCCAGTGTCTTTCATTCAAGCATTTAACTTCCGTTAGCCCCTGGGGTCAGCAGTAAACAAGGTCCTTTCCTGGTCCTCGGGGAGCTTCCAGACTAACCGGGGAAGCAAACACAGGCAACAGCCTGCTGGGTGCTGACGGGCCTGGGCACCACAGGGTCACTCACTCGGTTCTCAGCAGGCAAGGGTCAAAGGGGCAAGCCCTCCTGAGTGAAATCATGAGGGGTGAATGAAAACGGTCAGGGAGAGGCAGGACGAGTGTTCTGGGCAGAGCTGGCAGGGAGTCCTGGGGCAGAAGAGCTCAAGGCTGGAGTTGGGGAGGTGGGAGGAGGCTGCTGCAGTGATCTGCGGTCTGAAGGAGAGCAGGAAAGGGGACAGGTTTGACCGAGTCTCTGCAGTGTCCAGGTGGACGGTTTAGCTTGGGCATCTAGGGGACGTGCTGGCACCATCTGAGCCAAAGCACTAGGAAGAGTAAGTTCCAGTCCTGTGGAGTCACCACAAATTGGCTTGTCACTCCTTCTTCAGGAAACTTTTGACGCTGGCCTGCAGGCCTTCCAGCAGGAAGGCATTGCCAACATCACTGCCCTCAAAGATCAACTTCTGGCCGCCAAACACATTCAGTCCAAGGCCATCGAGGCCCGGCACGCCTCCCTCATGAAAAGGTGGAGCCAGCTTCTGGCCAACTCAGCCACCCGCAAGAAGAAGCTGCTGGAGGCTCAGAGTCACTTCCGCAAGGTGAGGATGGGACCATATGAAGCTTAGCTGGCCCACAGCTCAGGGAAGGAAGCCCACTTTCCATCTGCCCAGCTCTGCCACTCCCCCGTGAGGAAGCTGTGAACCCAGTGTAGAGCTTTCGAACATGGGCATGGCATCATTTAAAACCAAGGCAAATGGTAGGGCCCTGTGAGGTCACCATTCAGAAGCATGCAGAACAGACTGGACACAAGGGCAAAGGGTAGGAAGGGAAAAAAAACTGGTGAAGACTTGAAGAAAGGGGAGTAGAAGACAGGAGGAACAGAGTGGAGCCGAGCTCCCAGCAGGCCGTGTGTGCCTCTGATTCCCGGGAACCGCCCCGTGTCCCACCTCCTGCACTGGGTGGGCACTTCCAGCCCTGGCAACTCTGCTGATTCAGTCCCTTCTGCTTCCAGGTGGAGGACCTGTTCCTGACCTTCGCCAAAAAGGCTTCTGCCTTCAACAGCTGGTTTGAAAATGCAGAGGAAGACTTAACAGACCCAGTGCGCTGCAACTCCCTGGAAGAAATCAAAGCTTTGCGCGAGGCCCACGATGCCTTCCGCTCCTCCCTCAGCTCTGCCCAGGCCGACTTCAACCAGCTGGCCGAGCTGGACCGCCAGATCAAGAGCTTCCGTGTGGCCTCCAACCCCTACACCTGGTTCACCATGGAGGCCCTGGAGGAGACCTGGAGGAACCTACAGAAGATCATCAAGGTACACCCTCCGCTGCCCTCAGGAGCTGCTCGCCCACCCAGAGCCTTGCTGGGCCCTGCTCAGAGCCCACACTTCCTGAGTAGTGACCAGACAGGAGCAGGCAGGAGGAGCCAGGTTTCATCATAAGTTTCCATTTCTTTTTGTTTTCTTGAGACAGGGTCTCCTCTGTCACCCAGGCTGGACTGCAGTAGTGCCAACACGGCTCACTGTAGCCTCAACCTCCCAGGCTCAAGTGATGCTCTTGCCTGAGCCTTCTAAATAACTGAGACCACAGGCACATGCCACCACGCCTGGCTAATTTTTTTAACTTTTGTAGACAGTGTGTTGCTATGTTGCCCAGACTGGTCTTGAACTCCTGGCCTCAAGCAGTTCTCTTGCCTGGGCCTCTCAAAGTGCTGGGATTACAGGTGTAAGCCACTATACCCGGCCAGAAGTTTCCATTTCTGACATTCCCTGCTTGACTGTGATCAGTTACTTCCCCTCCAGGTCTACCTCTTCCTGGAGCCCCTGGTGGGTGGGAACAGAGAAAGAGCTACCAGGTGCTCTGAGCTGGCCTCATGTCTCCCAGCCTCCTTCCCCTGTCATCTCTGGGAGGTTCCTTGCGGGGAGGAGGCCACCTCCATCCTGAACCCACCTGTGAAGGAGGGGCTGGTATCACTGCTGCAGCAGCGCACAGCATCTGCCCCACTTTGGCCCGCAGGAGAGAGAGCTGGAGCTGCAGAAGGAACAACGGCGGCAGGAGGAGAACGACAAGCTGCGCCAGGAGTTTGCCCAGCACGCCAATGCCTTCCACCAGTGGATCCAAGAGACCAGGTGCCAGCCCACTGGGGCCAGAGGGCAGCAGCATGTCCCTGCTGTGCTTAAGCCCTGGGGAGCTTCCAGCCCCAAGGAGCTGGGGTGCTTGGTGTAAAACTAGAGGCAGCCTTGGAATAAAGCTGGGCTGGCAACACCTGGTGGGGCTCTGGAGCTGGGAGCGGGGGCAGAGGTAGAGCAGTGTCTCAGTGCTGCACATCCCAGATATCAAGTTGCGTGACTTGGTGACAGATGATGCAGGGTCTATGCATTGGGTACTGATGTTCTTGCTTTTGTTTTCCTTTCTTTCTTGTGTCTTCTCCCTGCCCCCCGCCTCCCGATTGCTGCTGTTGTCCGGACACCACCTTGTCTCACGGCTGCTTGGATCTGCTCTCCACAGGACATATCTCCTTGATGGGTTAATATTGTTTTCTTCCTTCTCCGGGCTTGTCGTGTGGGGATCTCATGCACTTGCCCCTCTGCCTTCGTCCTGTGGCCTGGCTTGTAGAGGATCCCAGGATGGGCCGTCCTGCCCAGGGCGGGCTGCACTTCCCTCCCGCCTTTCCCATCACCTGACAAAGAGCGTGCCTTGCCCCATAGCCCGTGGTCCCTGGTCCCCAATAGAGCCTTCAAGCCAGGGGGAGCCGCCCCAATCTTACTGGGCGATTCTAAGGGCTCACTTTGGTTAGGGAAGGTGGTGAAGCACGAAGACCAGAGCTGGAGTCCAGAGGCCCCGAGAACCCCCGCACCTGTCCAGCCACCAGGCTCTCTTGGGCTCTTGCCTCTGCTTCCCCAGTGTGTCCAAGAGTGTGCAGTGGGTATAAAGTAGATGACAGTGTTGGGGGCTCAGGCAGGGTACAGTAAGTCCACAGCTGAGAAGGGCTGGGTTCTGACACCCCGCACATAGCTGAGGCTGCCACTTAACTTTCCTGGGGTCAAGGATGGTAACAGGAACTGTCTGCCCTAATAGAAGGCAAAAATGCCCCTGTTATGATGTGATAGACAGGATGTGGGAGGAGCTCCAAGGAGGAACAGGGCTGTCCCACCCAGTCCCAGCAGGGGCTTCTCTGCTCAGCCTGGAGCCTCTGCCTGGGTGGGTCACCTTTGTAATCTGTGAAGCCTGCTGTGAAAGCCAGGGGTGGTGGGACTGCAGTGGCTTAGCCTGCACTCCTGAGAGTGCACATCAAGCCTGTAAAGGCTGCTAGGGGAGAAATAGACCCAAAACAGCCAGGCCACAAGTTCTGATGGCAGAGCAGCTGGGACATAGGGATCGAAGGTTCTGGCCTGTGCCCGTAGGACATCCTGGCCACCTGACTCCCCTCCCTGCCCCATGGCTGTGTCTGCTGGTCTTGCTCTTGTCTCCGTCAGGTGCCACGCTCCCCTCACCTTATGGCTCCTCCCAAGCCCTGCCCCATCTTGCCCATTCCTAGTGTGAGCTGCCTGGGGTGAGCCATTGGGCCTGCTGCCTCCAGGTACCCACTGGGCACTGGGTTGCCCTTGCCTGTGCCCTGCAGCTTGGGCCTTGTGTGTATCTGTCGCAGTGTGCTCTTGCCTCCCCTCCCTTTGGTGTATTCATTCGGTTTCTTTTCTTTGAATAGCATAGCGTATCGTCGGGTCATTCGTGTCTATCAGTATGAAGTTGGGGATGATCTGTCTGGAAGGTTTTTCTCCTTATTTCTCTTCTTACCTCACTGTGGCTTTACTGATGCACTCTTGACATCCCCAGGCGGCTCCACCCTGACTAACCTGCCGCCCTCGGCCGCTTGGGAAGGAGGGGTCTGTCCTCCCACTGCATCGGCACCCAGCCTCCTGCCCCCAGGTCCTGGGGGCATTTTCCCCGGGGGGACATGGTGTGACTGTGAGTCTGACCTGCTGGGGTAGGAGGAAGCCTGGTGCCTTGCCTTGCTAGAGCACTTTGAACTTGGGGAGATTGCAGAGCTAACTCTGACTTGCTGGGTTTTAAAAGGGTAGGTTGGGGCGAATGTGGGTGCAGGGAAGCCTGGGCTAAAACCCCACCAAGGCCACACGCACTGTGAATTTGTCCCTGCACGTAACCCTAACTCATTTGTCTTTGTTCACTGGTAGTCTCTGTGACCTGGCACTATGTTCTGTTGGGAAGGATGCTCCCCAAAGCCCACCTGCTCTCAGACACTTGCCCCCGCACTGGCAGTGTCTAGATGATGGAACCAGGATCTGGGCTTAGTCACAGCCATCTCCCTCCTTTCGACACAGTTGGTCGTGATCTCCCAGCATTCCACTTGTGTCCCTGTCTGCAGGGTCATGCTCTCATGTCCCCTAGAATGGGGCTCCCCCTGCAGGAACCGTGCCAGGACACTCCAGGGCTTCTGAGGTGGGGCTGTCAGGTTCTCAGCCTCCCCTCTGCCCTGAGGTCTCCTGTCAGGTGTCAGGGTGTTCCAACCCCACCATGACTGCAAAGAGGATGCTCAGACAGCAGCCACTCTGCAACCATGGGGAAATTTAAACTCCATTCCTGAGTCATCCTGGCCTGGGAGCGAGATGAGTGGGCTTAGCGCTGGCCCACCACAAAGGAGCAGCCTCCAATCTCTAGAACAGGAGAAATGCTCCCTGCCCTCTCTGGATCCCTGGGGCCCATTAGGTAAAGATGGCCAATTACAGTTAGGTTTGGTTTCCTTAAAAGGAATGTGAGGTTGCCAGGCATTGCTCTCTCTGAGGGGAGGTTCATTCTGAGCTCTCGGTCAGCTGGGAGCAGGCCCGTTTCCTAACTGTCCTTCCATGTTTAGGTCCTGCATGGTGGAAGAGTCGGGGACCCTTGAATCCCAGCTTGAAGCTACGAAAGTAAGTACTCCAGGGGCTCTGGCCTAGCTCAGACCTTTCACCCAGCCACCCCTCAGGCTACCCTTTCCTTCTTGGTTTAAAGTCAGGAACTAGATGCGCCATTGGCTACCCTTTCCCTTGGCCTAAAGCAGTCTAGGGCTCTTCACTCTTTCTCTTGTTCTGTCTCTACTTACTTTCTTCACGGAGTCTAGTGCTCTCTCTCAGACTGGAGTGCAGTGGTGCAATCTCAGCTCATTGCAACCTCCACCTCCTGGGTTCAAATAATTTTCCTGTCTTGGCCCTTTAAATAGCTGGACTATAGATGTGTGCCACCACACTTGGCTAATTTTTATTTATTTTTATGTATCTTTTGAGACACAGTTTGGCTTTTGTTGCCAAGGCTGGAGTGCAATGGCATGGTCTCGGCTCACTGCAACCTCCGTCTCCTGGGTTCAAACTATTCTCCTGCCTCAACGTCCTGAGTAGCTGGGATTATAGCCACCTGCCACCACACCTGGCTGACTTTCATATTTTTAGTAGAGATAGGGTTTCACCATATTGACCAGGCAGGCTGGTCTCGAACTCCTGACCTCAGGTGATCTGCCCACCTCAGCCTCCCAAAGTGCTGGGATTATAGGCATAAGCCACCGTGCCCGGCCTCATTTTTATATTTTTAGTAGAGACAGGGAATCACCATATTGGCCAGGCTGGTCTTGAACTCCTAACTTCATAATCCACCCGCCTTGGCCTCCCAAAGTGCTGGGATTACAGGCATGAGACCACGCTCCCTGGCAAGACTTCTTCACTTTAAAGTCTTTGGTGCTGGGCACGGTGGCTCACACCTGTAATCCCGGCACTTGAGGAAGACCAAGGCAGGTGGATTACTTGAAGTCAAGAGTTCGAGACCAGCCTGGCCAACATGGTGAAACCCTGTCTCTACTAAAAATACAAAAAATTAGCTGGGCATGATGGCAGGTGGCTGTAATCCCAGCTACTCAGGAGGCTGAGGCAGAAGAATCACTTGAATCCAGGAGGCGGAGGTTGCAGTGAGGTGAGATCGTGCCATTGCACTCCAGCCTGGGTGACAGAGCAAGACTCCATTTCAAAAACAAATATCTTCTCCACTGTCCTTATATGCAAAAAAAAAGAAATGAATAAATAAAAATATCTGGCGATTGCTCCCTGGAGTCCTCCCTGCAGTTGTCCTCGGTAAAGCCTGCTTTCTGGCAGGTCTAGCAGCTGGTTTGTAAGCCTCACATTTAAAGTGTTTCCCTCTGCTGAGATTATTGGGATTTCTTGAGCTTTACCCCATCCCACTATTCCTGTTCTATAACGTTCTTCTTTTAAGAGGTCTCAGGCCAAGCCTGGAGCAGGAGCCCAAGGAGGGCAGTAAGCGGCTCCTGGGCTGGTGGCTGAGCTGAGGGCCCCTGTCCAAACTTCTTTGCTCCCCACCCCTGCAGCGCAAGCATCAGGAAATCCGAGCCATGAGAAGTCAACTCAAAAAGATTGAGGACCTGGGGGCTGCCATGGAGGAGGCCCTCATCCTGGACAACAAGTACACAGAGCATAGCACTGTGGGCCTGGCCCAGCAGTGGGACCAGCTGGATCAGCTGGGCATGCGCATGCAGCACAACTTGGAGCAGCAGATCCAGGCCAGGTACCTGGGAGGACTGTGCAGCCAGGCTCAGCCCAGAGCGGGGAGGAGGAAGAAAGGTCACCTGCAGTGAGGAGGGGTCTGCTCCCTAATTCTATTTTTCTTCTAGGAACACAACAGGTGTGACTGAGGAGGCCCTCAAAGAATTCAGCATGATGTTTAAGTGAGTTCAGCCCTATTAATCCTGGCTGGGTTGGGGGTGGTCGGCAGCAGGGCTGTGTGCTAAGCTGCCACTTGGCTTTGTGTTGCAGACACTTTGACAAGGACAAGTCTGGCAGGCTGAACCACCAGGAGTTCAAATCCTGCCTGCGCTCCCTGGGCTATGACCTGCCCATGGTGGAGGAAGGGGAACCTGACCCTGAGTTCGAGGCAATCCTAGACACAGTGGATCCAAACAGGTGAGGCTCAGGCCAGGTACTGTGAGCCTCCGCTCTGAGCTCCCGCCTGGCCTCCCTGCTCAGGCACTTGCCTCCCCTCCCCTCCCAGAGATGGCCACGTCTCCCTGCAAGAATACATGGCCTTCATGATCAGCCGTGAAACTGAGAACGTCAAGTCCAGTGAGGAGATTGAGAGCGCCTTCCGGGCCCTCAGTTCAGAGGGAAAGCCTTACGTGACCAAGGAGGAGCTCTACCAGGTACGGGCCCCGGGAGGTGGGTGAAGAGCTTTCCTTTGGAAAACTAAAGCCAAATTTGTGGCAGAGCTGAGTCTGGGGCAACAGGCCCTGCTAGGTACAGGAGTTTCCTCCCCACTTACAAATCAAAACCCAGTATGGGCTGAGGTCCTGGATCTGCTCGTAGGGGCAGCTCTGAGCCTTGAGCCCCCAGCATCCTGAGCCCTGGGAGGTCGGGTTTGAAGTGGATGCAGCTGGCTCAGGCACTGGGCACCATCCCTTCCCCCTAGAACCTGACCCGGGAACAAGCCGACTACTGCGTCTCCCACATGAAGCCCTATGTGGACGGCAAGGGCCGCGAACTCCCCACTGCATTCGACTACGTGGAATTCACCCGCTCACTCTTTGTGAACTGAGCCGCTCCCTGGTCACCCACCCCGCACTGCTTGCCCCATGTCGCCTTGCTGCATGTCCACTCCCATATGCTCGCTCTTTCCACAGTAACCTTAAGCCTGCTTAGCTTGGAATAAGACTTAGTAGAAAATGGTGCTTCACTAACCCGCTTCTGGTCCAGTCACAATCACCATGTCACTGTGGGGACCCAGATCCATGTCTTGAAGCAGCTGCCCTCATTCCGACTTCAGAAAAATCAAAGCAGCTGGCTCCCTGCCTTCTTGTTCTCCCTTCCTTCCTCCCCCAACTCTGTTTTCATGTAAAAGACAAATAAATGACAACTCTTCACCCAAAGCTTTGCTTTTCTTCATTCAGCTCACGTCAGGGCTCAGCACAGCAAAGCGTTGTGCCTGCCTCCCAGGACTCCTCAGGTGGCCACCTCCGCTGCCAGGCGGTCCAGGTCCTCAGCTTCCCGGGGCCCTTGTTCCGTGAACTCCGTGCTCAGCTGCCACACCTTCACTGTGCCCTGGGCATCGCCCGCAGCCAAGAGCTGAGTCTGCTGGCTGTTGAACTCCAGACAGTAGACAGGGCTTTCATCCTGGGTTTGCTTGATGGAAACTGTGGGTTTCTGGGAGCTTTTCTGGAGATCAAACAGCTGCACGTCACCTGCAAGAATAAGGAGCTACGTGGAGTAAGAGAAACTGAACTAGAGACCAACCACACAGCAGGAGGCGGCTGACACCCGGGTTCAGTCCTGCTGTGTGCAGCCACGGTCGCTTGAGGGAAGCTGTCCTTACCCTCACATGCGGTCTCTCCCCAACCCAGAACCCTGGCTACAAGAACGGCCCAGGCCACCCCTTAAAGAGATCCAGGCCCGGTGGCCTCTTCCTACCTTCCCCAGAGGCAGCTGCAAAAACCAAGGGGCGTACTGGGGACCAGCGCACAGCAAATAGGTACTTGAGAGAGAGCTGCAGCGAGGTCAGGGGCGGGGCCTGCAGCATGGAGTACAGGTGGACGTGGCCATCGGTGCCCGCGCTCAGGAAGAGATTCCTAGATGGGATGCAGGGGACCAGGCAAGGGAACTGATGCTGGTGTCTGGGTGGTGCTGGCACCCAACACCAGACCCCTCCTGGGCTGCCAGGCTTGTGAAGGGCCTTGTTGGTCCTCATTAGAGAAGAGACGATGCCTGGGGCCAAGCAGCAAAGAGCTGCATGCGGGGCTCAGGGCAGGCAGAAGGCAAGCACTTGCAGCAATCTGTCATGAGGCCTGGCAGGCTAGGGACCCACAGGACAGGGACACCTTGGTCCCACTGTGCCCGAGGCCGAGGCCTCTCCTACCTACCTGTGGAAGGGGGAACAGCTCACAGAGTAGATGGGACCGCCGTGGGGAGAGAAGGTAAACTGTGCCGGGGCCCGCAGGGGCACGGAGCTGGGCATCCGCGTGAGGGCCGCCTCTCCAGCTGCCAGGGAACACTTGAGCGGGAAGCCACCTTCCGTGCCCAGAATGAACAGCCTTGGGTCAAAGCTGGAGAAGGCCACTGCCGTGGCGCCCACCTCAGTCTCTCCCCGGGGATGCTGTGGATAAATGGCAGCACAAGGGTCAGAGCCAAGGGCATCAGATGGCGCGGTCCTAATGGAGCCAGAGAACAGTACAGGGGATCATGGCAAGTCAGGCCCACTGGCCACACCCTCCCGCCCCCAAGGCTCACTGGTGCAGGCCGGGGCCGTTTCTGGGTGCCGCATACCTTCTTGAGCTTGGTGCTCCGTGGCAGCTGTTGCGTGACCAGGGCGAAGCCCTCTGTGAGCTGCAGCTGGCCCGTCCCAATGCCCTGCCAGAGCAGCACCTTCCCATCAGTGGCCACACTCAGCACCTGGAAGCGGTGGCTGTGCCCGGGCTCCGGCAGCCACACCACCTGAGATGACAGCGTGCAGGGTGGGATGAAGACAAAGGACACCTGCCCAGGTGTCACACTCCACTCCCACCCTCCCTCTCTTCCAGGAAAAAAAAGAATTCTTGGGGAGGCCCCAGAGTCAGGCTCACCCACTAGGGGGCAGGCCCGGAGGGTTCCCAGGGCCCTCTCCAGTCCCAGAATCCCAGCACTGCAGCGCCTGCAGAGGAGGCTGGGAATGGCCACAGGGCTCTGGGAGTGGCTCCTGAGGGGGTGACTCATGCTGTCAGAGCTCTGAGAATGCAGGAGGCAGCTGTCCAACTGCCAACGCCCGGGTGACCTTCCTAGGAGAGTGGGCGCCCTCTCCCCGCTCTGCCTCAGGGCCCACCCCACCCAGCAGTCCCTTCCCTGACCTGGGACACAGGGTCTGTGTGGGTGTCATCTGTCAGGCCTGTGCGCCACAGCAGCGGGTCCTCAGGACGGCTCAGGTCCCACACCAGCACCTCGCCACTGTACAGCCCTCCTGCAGGGACAGCGGGCCTGGGCAGAGACTCAGCCCTGTCCTCAGCCTGGCTTCCTGGCCAAGCACCCACCCCGACCCACAGACAGGGCCAGGCAACAGAAGCCGTCCCTGCAGAGGGAGAGTCCTGGCCCCCCAGCCCCACTGCTGCACCCGAGGGAGCTTTGCCAGACACCCCTGCCCTGCACCTGGTAGCTCCCTCCAGCATCGCCTGCCCCATCCCACTGACAGGTTCCCAAGGGCACCTGCCTCTTCCAGCCTCTGCACAGCCCCCAGCCCTGGCCCTGACCCTGGCCCCCTTCCAGACTCCTCTGAGTTCCACAACTGCAGGGCTTCACCTGGGCTCCAGGCCAAGGGGTCAGGGCCCACCTTCCTGTCTCCCAGTCAGAGGGCCCACAGAAAGTTCTCTGTGCACCTCTGCAGGCCGGGAAGCTTAGTCCTGAGAGGAGAGGAGGCGGAGGCAGCAGGCGACTCACCTGCGACATGGGAGGGCTGCATGGGGTGGAAGGCCAGGCACAGGACGGCGCTAGGCGCCTCCACCACAGCCGATGGCTGCCGGGGACTCAGGCCTCGCCGGTCCAGGTTCCAGGCACACACGAAGGACTTAAGCATGCTCCAGTCCCCGTGGTCCACCCTGTGCAGGGACAGGCCTGAGCTGGCTGTGCCCCTAGGTCAGGCTCCTGTCACCCACTCCACTTCTCTCCCCACTAGCCAACACATTCACCTGTTTCCTTGTCACCAACAGACACTACTCTGGGTACTGAGGTGCCCCAGGCTCTGCTCCAGCACCCAAAGGGCGTGGCGTTCTCTGGAAAAGGGTCCCCAGGCACCAAGGACAGTCCATGCCATGCAGGATGGGGAAGCAGCTGGCGGGGCGGGCAAGGCAGGCAGGCCCAGGGCCAATGGGTGGGGGGGTGGCGGTCCTGGCACTCAGCCCCGCTCCCTGCTTTTCTCCTGCCACTTGTCAACCCTGCCCAGGAAGCCTTGAGAAGAGACTCCCAGGATGGGTTCTTGGGGCCAACCCTTCCGCATGCAGCTGGAGAGACCGAGGCACAGCGAGGGTCCTGGGGTGGCGCACAGCCCCTCACCCACCCCGAGGCCACTCACCGGCCGTAGGCACAGGCCACCACGGAGCCAGTGGAGTTCCAGGAAATGCCAGTCACGTGCAGACCCTGTGCCTGGGCTGGGGGGTAGCCCAGGGTATGCAGACAAGACACCTGTGGAGACATCCCCAACCCTGAGTCCCAAAGCCACCAGCAGGGGGCTTTATGGCTGCCTAACCAAACCTCACCTAGACCGGGCCACCCTTAGCCCTAGAAGCCCTCAAGTCTCCCAGCAAGGCCTAGAGGAAAATGTGGGACGTTCATCCTCACATCTGCCCCAGCAGGATGCCTCCAGAAGCCCAGAAGGCAAAACTTGAGAATCAAGGCCAACCAGGCTCCTGCCCAGACCAGCGGCTGCCCTCACAGGAGCATTCCACAGTTTCCAAGCCTCAGCAGCTGCAGCAGGAAGACAGGGTGGCTGCCCAGCAGCATGAAAGTGTCCAACATGGCCAAGCAGAACACTCGACAGGAGCCAAGCCAACCACCCGACATCATGTGGTGCTACACGCACATGATTTTTTGTTGGTGGTGGTTAGTTGGTTTTCTTTTTTGAGAGAGTCTTGCTTTGTGGCCCAGGCTGGAGTGCACTGGTACGATCTCGGCTCACTGCAACTGCTGCCTCCCAGGTTCAAGTGATCCTCATGCTTCAAGCTCCCAAATAGCTGGCGTGCGCCACCACACCTAGCTAATTTTTGTATTTTTAGCAGAGATGGGGTTTCACCACATTACCCAGGCTAGTCTTGAACTCCTGACAGGTAATCCTTCCACCTTGGTCTCACAAAGCACTGGGATGACAGATGTGAGCCACCATGTCGGCTGCACACAATTTTTTGTCAGCCTTTCTAGCATCTTGCTTTCAGCCCCCACCCAGCCAGAGTCGCATGTGAGGAAACTGACGACCAGCCCAGCCAGGGGTAGGCACCAGCTGCCCAGGAAGTGGTGTGTGCCAGGGATCCAGTCTCCCAGATCCTCTGAAGTTTCAGATCTGTTGACCTCATGATTCTACTTAAAGAACTATCCACTGAGGGTTGGGAGTGGTGGCTCACACCTGTAATCCCAGCACTGTGGGAGGTTGAGGCAGGAGGATCGTCTGAGCTCAGGAGTCCAAGACCAGCCTAGACAAGATGATGAAACCTCATCTCTATCAAAAATATAAAAATTAGCTGGGCATGGTCACAAGCACCTGTCATCCCAGCTACTCACAAGGCCGAGGTGGGAGGATCACTTGAACCCAGGAGACAGAAGTTGCAGTGAGCTGAGACTGCACTGCTGCCCTCCAGCCTAAGCAACAGACCAAGACTCTGTCCCAAAAAAAACAAAATTCATTTTGCAAAAAAATAAAAAAGAAACTGTCGGGCCGGGCGCGGTGGCTCAAGCCTGTAATCCCAGCACTTTGGGAGGCCGAGGCGGGTGGATCACGAGGTCAAGAGATGGAGACCATCCTGGTCAACATGATGAAACCCCGTCTCTACTAAAAATACAAAAAATTAGCTGGGCATGGTGGCGCGTGCCTGTAATCCCATCGACTCAGGAGGCTGAGGCAGGAGAATTGCCTGAACCCAGGAGGCGGAGGTTGCGGTGAGCCGAGATCGCGCCATTGCACTCCAGCCTGGGTAACAAGAGCGAAACTCCGTCTCAAAAAAAAAAAAAAAAAAAGAAACCGTCCACTGGAAAGACCCCATGTTCACAGAAAGCTACACAGCCGGCACCCCATGCACTGCCGTAGCATGTGCAAGACGCCTCTGCTGTGGAGGACAAGCTGGCGGGAGACCAGGACGAGCAACTCCCCTCCTAGGCTTAGACCCACGAGAAATGCAAACACATGTCCACAGGAGCACTACTCACGATAGCCAAAAAGTGGAACAGCCCAAATCGCCAACTCCATCAACTGAGAAGTGGATAAATAAACGTGGTCTGTCAATGGAACGTTATGTAGCGCAAAAGGAACGCACAACCAATCCAAGCCACAACACGCATGAACCTTGAAAACATGATGCTAAGGCCGGGCGCAGTGGTTCACATCTGTAATCTCAGCACTTTGGGAGGCCAAGGAGGGCAGACCATGAGGTCAGGAGTTCAAGACCAGCCTGGCCAAGATGGTGAAACCCCATCTGTACTAAAAATACAAAACTTAGGGCCGGGCGCGGTGGCTCAAGCCTGTAATCCCAGCACTTTGGGAGGCCGAGGCGGGTGGATCACGAGGTCAAGAGATCGAGACCATCCTGGTCAACATGGTGAAACCCCGTCTCCACTAAAAATACAAAAAATTAGCTGGGCATGGTGGTGCGTGCCTGTAATCCCAGCTACTCAGAAGGCTGAGGCAGAGAATTGCCTGAACCCGGGAGGCGGAGGTTGCGGTGAGCCGAGATCGCGCCATTGCACTCCAGCCTGGGTAACAAGGGCGAAACTCCGTCTCAAAAACAAAAACAAAAACAAAAACAAAACTTAGCCAGGTGTGGTGGCGCATGCCTGTAATCCCAGCTACTCAGAAGGCTGAGGCAGAGAATTGCTCGAACCTAGGAGGTGGAGGTTGCGGGGAGCTGAGATTGCGCCACTACACTCCAGCCTAGGCAACAGAGCGAAACTCCGTCTCACTGTCACTCAGGCTGGAGTACAGTGGTGTGATCTCGGGTCACCACAATCTCCAGCAGGTTCAAGTGATTCTCCTGCCTCAGCCTCCCAAGTAGCAGGGGTTACAGGCACATGCCACCACACCTGGCTAATTTTTGTATTTTTAGTAGAGATGGGGTTTCACTGTGTTGGCCAGGCTGGTCTCGAACTCCCAACCTCAGGTGATCTGCCCGCCCTAGCCTCCCAAAGTGCTGGGATTACAGGTGTGAGCCACCGCACGGGCCTCATACAGTTGTTTTGAGGAGTAAATGAGATGCCACAGGAGACACTCTTAACTGGGTCTGGCCCAAAGAGGGCCCTCACTATACCGTATATGGGGAGGCACAGCAGCCGGGTGCCCAGGCTCTAGCCTGCCTCCACTGCCACCCGCTCAGTTTCACTCTGGATGTTACTTCCACTTAGGGTGTCCATCTCCCTAACTGTAAAATGGACAGAACACCTCCCTGGAGGACAGCAGTGAAGGCTCACTGACTTATTCTTTGGAAACCTAGCCCAGTACCAGGCAGGACATGAGCCTGGTGAGTGCCAGCTGTGACTAAGACGGGCACAGCTGTTATCTGCGGGAAGGAAAACAAGGACAGACAAAAGTGGGGCAGGGGCTGGACGGAGGCTGCAGCAGCCCGTCCCCTACCATCTGCTGCTGCTCCGTCCAGTTCACCTCGAAGCCATCAAACGCATGGCTCTGCCAGTTCTTGTTCAGCTCTCGGATGACCATGGCTTCCACTCTCCGAAGAAAGGCTGCGAGCCGGGGGATGTCGCACCGGGATGGGGGCTGCACGCTGACAGGCTCCAGGGCCTCCGTCTGCACCTGGGCATCAGCATGATTCCGAACCTGGGCAGACGCATCAGCAGTGACAATGCTGGCCGTCTGGCAACTTTTCTGGGGGGAGGGTGAAAATGAGCGTCACTACCCAGCTGTCCTCACACAGCCCCTGCCCAACCCCCTGCCTGCCCCTCCTCCCTCCACTTGACCCCCTCCTGGCTGCTGTGGGTCTCAGGCTACAGAGTCTCTCTCAGTGAGGTCTGGGTTAGAGATGACCCCTTGACTCTCTTTGGTCCCACAATCAATCAGTGCCAGCCAATCAGAGCACTGTATCCCTACCTCAGCCACAGTGACCAGTTCAGGCCTGGCCACATGACCCAAACAAGCCAGTGAGAGCCTTCCCTGAGACTTCTGGTGCAATGATTTGGAGGTGCCAGAGGCTCCATTTCTGAAGATGCAGAGGGCGGCTAGAACCATGATGGCTCACAGCAGCACCCTGGCACACATGGTCTGAACAGGCCCATGAACACCCCGGCTTCACACCACCCGGCCCTCCCTTGGCAGGCAGCCCTCCCAGCACCTGGGTGAGCAATGCCAGCTCCAGCAACCACTCTGAGCCACCTGGTGGGAGGCAGAGCACTGCCCCCAAAGGCCTTGCTGTCCACCCTGCCACCACGCCTATAACTGGTCCCCCGCTTGGCTGTACCTCGCATAGATACAAACATCAGAACAGAGCAGGAGAGGCCTGCCTTTTTTTTTTTTTTTTTTTTTTTGAGACAGGGTCACCTAAGCTGGAGTGCAATGGCACACTCTCGGCTCACTGAAACCTCTGCCTCCCAGATTCAATCGATCCTCCTGCCTCAGGCTTCTGAGTAGCTGGGACTACAGGAGCGTGCCACCACACCCAGCTAATTTTTCGTATTTTTAGTAGAAATGGGGTTTCACTATAGGGGTTAGCCAGGATGGTCTCAATTTCCTGACCTCGTGATCTGTCCACCTCAGCCTCCCAAAGTGCTGGGATTACAGGTGTGACCCACCTCGCCTGGCCCAGACTCCCTTTCTTAGACATCCCAATCCTTACCAAACGAAGGCTCTGGGCGGAAGCAATCATTGTGATCTCTGCTATCTGTGAGGGGCTCTCATCAGGTGGCCACTCAAGGGACAATGACAAAGCCCTGGACTGCCACACTCCCTCCCTCCCATCTCATGCAGGATTCTAGCTGGGCAAGGCCAGTCTCAGCAAGCCTGGAGGAAGGAGGGGGCCGGACCCACCAGGACAGTTCTCTTCCGCACACAGAGGCCTCAGCATGGGCACCCATCCTCACCTGCACAGCCACTCAATTCTCTCTGCTTGTCTGTGTCCTAACGAACCGTGAGCCCCCTCACATAAGACTCTGTCTGATCTTTGTATCCCCAGCACTTTGCATGGTAATTGGCACAGAGCAGATGTTCATTCATTCACACACACACACACACACACAGGCCAGGTGCAGTGGCTCACACCTGCAAACCCAGCACTTTGGGAGGCTGAGGCAGGCAGATCATCTTAAGTCAGGAGTTCAAGACTGGCCTGGCCAATATGATAAAACCCTGTCTCTACTAAAAATACAAAAATTCACTGGGCGTGGTGGCACACATCTGTAATCCCAGCTACTTGGGAGGCTGAGGCAGAATTGCTTGAACCCGGGAGGCGGAGGTTGAAGTGAGCCAAGACCACGCCACCTCACTGCAGCCTGGGCTATGGAGGAAGACTGTCTCAAAAAAAAAAAAAAATTACTTATTGAGCATCTACTTGCCAGGCATCGTCTCCCTAATTAGGATACAGCAGAAAAGAAAATGGGCAAGATTCCTGTGCCCCAGGCACTCACACAGGGGTGGGGGTAGACGAATAAACAAGAAAAAAACCCACCAAGTCCACACAGCATTGCGCACACGCAGACCACGAGAAAGGCAGGAAACAGCCAGGGAGGCTGTCTCCATGGGACGGCAAGGGTGGCCTCTGGGCAGGTGGCATCTGAGCTGTCATGCGAAGGACATGAAGGAGCCGGCCAAGCGGAAAGCTTTAGGAAGGAGTCTCATGGGCCAGAATAAAATGCTATGGTAGAAAATTGCCCAAATGCAGTGGCTCATGCCTGTAATCCCAACACTGTGGGAGACCGAGGCAGGAGGATCACTTGAGTCCAGGAGTTTGTGACCAGCCTGGGTAACAGAGAGAAACCCCATAACTATAAATTAAAAATTTGCCAGGGGTGGTGGTGCACGCCTATAGTCCCAGCTACTCAGAAGGCTGAAGAGGGAGGATTGCTATAGCCCAGGGAGTGGAGGCTGCAGTGAGCCGTGACGGTGCCGCTGCACTCCAGCCTAGGCAACAGAGCAAGGACAACAAAAGAGGACATGTTGGGCCGGGAATCCTGGAAAGAAGGGAATCCAGGGTGACCCTGGGATCTGCATCGAGAACATGTGGACGGTGCGTCCCCAGAAGTGAGGTCACATTCAGGTGGAGAATACAGGGCACCTCTGTGCAGCCTCCTTTGGACTCAGATGCCTCAGCCACCCATGGGGAGCCATAAAGTATTCTCGGGGGAGGTCACCAGGCTCTGGAGACCTTCTGACCAGAGATGTGACTTGAAGCCACAGAGCTGGAGGAGGCTGCCGAGGGAGCATGCACACCAAGGAATGAATGAATGGGCTGGGAGATCAGAAAGTGCACGTGCCCAGCCGAGATGTGCAGGGACTACGGGGGAACCTCAAACCCTGTGAAAGCCACCATGCTGACGACAGCCCCAGCCGTTAAAAGCTCACTTCCAGGCACTGTGCCAAGAGCTTCACCCACATCACCTCATTCCTCCTCACAACCGCCCTACAAAGTAAATCCCATCTTCATATTATTAATGTTGGAACTAAGGCACAGAGAAACTGAGTAACTCACCCAAGGTCACACAGCAAAAAGAGATCGACTTGAACCCAGGCGGCCCGACTTTATTTTTTTGAGACAGGGTCTCACTCCATTGCCCAGGCTGGAGTGCAGTGGAGTGGTCATAGCTCACTGCAACTGACATCTGCCTCTCGGGCTCAGGCAGTCCTCCCACCTCAGCCTCCCAAGTAGCTGGGACTATAGGCACACAACCACCACACCTGGCTGATTTTTGTAATGTTTTTTGTGCCACGCACAGTGGCGCGTGCCTGTGGTGCCAGCTACTCAGGAGGCTGAGGCTGGAGGATCATTTGAGTCCAGGAGCTCTAGGCTGTAGTGCACTATGTCAATCGGGTGTCCGCACTAAGTTTGATATCACTATGGTGACCTCCCGGGAGCAGGGGACCACCAGTTTGCCTAAGGAGGGGTGAACCAGCCCAGGTTGGAAACTGAGCAGATCAAAACTCCTGTGCTGATCAGTAGTGGGATGGTGCCTGTGAATAGCCGCTGCACTCCAGCCTAGGCAACATATCGAGATGCCATCTGTTACCAAAAAAAAAAAAAAATTTTTTTGTAGAGACAGGATCTCACTTTATTGCCCAGGTTGTTCTCCAACTCCTGGGCTCAGGAGACCCTTCTGCCTCAGCCTCCCAAGTAGCTAGGACTACCAGTGTGCAGCACCGTGCATGGCTGATTTTTTTTACCCCCAGGCTGGAGTGCAATGGTGCCATCTCGCTCACCACAACCTCCACCTCCCAGGTTCAAGTGATTCTCCTGCCTCAGCCTCTCAAGTAGCTGGGATTACAGGCATGCGCCACCACACCCAGCTAATTTTGTTTTTTTT